AAAAATCTCAAGCTGTGAAACAAAATGTAAGGGTTATTTTATTGCAATAACAATGAAGTAAAGTACAACCAAATGAACATTGTCATTTTATAGTTCAATGTCTTGTTCCAGATATTACACATCAAAAAGAAAAAAAGAAGAAGAAGAGGAGTTGAAAAAGAAAAGGGTTCGACAAATTATTAAAAATATGAGGAGAAAATTAAATAGATTTAAAATCATGTTTTCATGTTTTTTTGAATTTTTCATAATTTCGAGGTACAGATAAATTAAAATATATACTTTTTTTGGTAAACAAATAAAAAAATATAAAAAAAATAATCAATGAATATTCTACTAATCATAATGAATATACTTTATATCTAATAAGTACATGTACTAGAGGATCATTGAATAAATAAACACAATAAACGGTTAAGGCTGGGCTGTAAACAGATTTCCCCCTAGAAAGTTCCTAGCAAATTTTTTCTACAAATGACGGCGTCAAAAATGGATGAATTTAGTTAATTTAGAACTTAATCGAAAGCTTATTTTATTCTTCACATCGGAAAACAACAATATAATAACATTAATTACTTCATCATAATTAAAAACGAAGATAAAGATATGCACTCATTTTTCACTAGATTTTAGAGGTGTCATGGCGGATACCGCTGTCATCAGCCGTCAACGAAAAAATGATTTATTTCACAATAACCACTGTACCTATGCTGTAAATCGTTGTTTTCCGATGTACATACTATTGTTCAGGATATTTAAAAAAATATTTTATAACGAAAAAACGAATAAATAAAACACAGTTTCGCGAGAAAAATTTCAGGTGATCATTCACAGAATCGTATTTTTTCCATTCTCTACAGGTGGCGTAGCAATGGGCTCTGAAAGGCATGGAATGACTATTGATTTTTACGACTGTGCGTATCAAAATTACTCAGAGTGTTACGTCCCCGTAACAGAACGGTCTCTTTTTTGAGTCAAGACACAATCGCCTTCTACTCCACTCGGGTGCGGAGACCTCGCAGAGTTTATTTTAGATGGAAAATTAAAGAAATAGGTAAGGTAATCAGTGCTGGCAAACCACTATGGTGTAACAAATGAAGAAGAGAGTTGTTCCTTTTTATTACAGATAATCTTTATTAGCCTTTACTCACTTTAGTTGAACAGAAATTGTTTTACAAGGGTGAAACTGATAGGTAGCAGAAAGTTGAAGCGCTGTTCAGCAGGTCGGTGCGTAGCAGGTTGTGGTGCTGCCTGAAGATACTCGGCTAGGCTCCCTGGTTGGTTGATTTACAGCCACTTGGGCTCCCTCGCCGTACCGCACCTCTCTCTCTTTCTCGTAGACTTCGACTTCGCTCGTTCGCTCACGTATATATATTTTCTCAAAGATTTTTCTTCACAAAATCTTTCCCGACGAGTTGAGAAAAATGTTTTTATTATTTTAAAGAAAAAAAAATATTTCTTTGGTCGAGTTGAGTTTTTTTTAAAAATATACTGGTTTGAGTAAATAGAAGAATTATTCTCCTCAAGAAGAAAATTCTAAAAGAATTGTTTCTCTTGAATGATTATAAATTGAAGGAAATCTTTAAAGTTACCGAGAATAAATTTCTCTTAAAAAATCAAATCGAAGTAGACTACAGTTCAAAAATTTGCACCAAGCCCAACAAAAATTCAGCAGAGACTGAAGTTCCTTGGGAAAATCTGGACTATTTATCCAGGGTTCCAACCCCTCTGAAAAGCTGGAGGTGGTAGCTTTAATGTTCTTTCTGCCAATCCGGTAGATTTGAATATCCAAATTTCCTTTAGTCAGGCTATCCACGTGCGGGCCTCTTGAACTGCCTTTACGCCCGCTTTCTCTTCTTTCCTTCACCTGTCTGTCCATGAAAAAGTATGAGTAGAAGTAAGAAAGGCTCATGTTCGTAGAAAGAGAGAGGCATACGACAATCGGCAGCGAGTTCTGGCACTTCGCCGGCAAGCTCTATCCCCTTCCTTCGTACCCAAGCGAGTAGCTTATAACTTATAAATATAAACAATAGAAAAGTTAATGTATTAGCTCTGCAGACAGAGCACTAGATTTTTAATTTGCCGAGCCGAGTTCAAACCCCGCCGCAGCCAATTTTTTTTTTCTCTTTTTTTTTAATGATATACAAGCGTTATTTTAGCATGCCAAAATTAGTTTTAAATAAAAATTTTTTTATTAATTACTCTTCCAATTTATAGCGGAAGAGTAAGAAAGTTATTAAAAAGTTTGAAAAAACTTGTTTTTATGTCGCTACAAAAGAGGCAACAGTTTTTTTTAATAAATATAAAACATGAAGAGCACTTACAACAATTTGTGACGAGTTCCAGCACATCGCCGGAAAGCTGGTTACCCATGCAAGCAGCTTAAAATAATAAACACAAAACACTTGTATGACGGTGTGCTAGCTCCGTGGCCAGAGTGCCAGTTCTTTATTTTGCCGAGCAGGGTTCAAACCCAGTTACGGAAAGATTTTTAAAAAATTTTTTTTTGTTAAAATTGCATGTAATTGCAATTTTTGGATGCCAAAATTAATTTTCAATATCAATTTTAATTTTTTCTATAATTATTTTTCTAATCAATGACGGAAGAGTAATAAAAAATTGAAGTAGTGCAGAAAAATTTATATTTATATAGTTACTTTAGTTGTAGGATTTTTTTTTTAACAAACAAAATTAATAAACAGCAAAAAACAGTTGAAACAATCTGCGGCGAGTTCCGGCGCTTCGCTGGCAAGCTCTATTCCCACTCTCCGTACCCAAGCCTGCAACTTATGACTTATAAACATGTAAATAACAAGTTAATACATGTTAGCTCTGTGGTCAGAGCACGCGACTTTTATTTTGTCGGGCAGGGTTCGATCCCCGTCACAGCCAATTTCTTTTTTCATTGTTAAAATTACACATAATTACAATAATTACCTATTCATGTTGGATTAAGATTGTTTTTTAAAGTTTTATAGAATCTACATTTTTCAATAAAGAGAATACATGTCGTTTTTGGAAAAATTTAGAAATTAATTTTAAACTAATATGAATAGGTAATTATGATAATTATATGTGATTTTAACGAATGTAAAAAAAAAAATTGGCCGTGGCTGGGATCGAACCCTCATCGGCAGAATAATAGTCTGGCGCTCTGACCACAGAGCTAGCATAGATTCTTTTGAAATTTTATATTTATTAATTATAAGTTGTCGGCTTGGGTACGGAGAGTGGGAATATTCTAAAATTGCAATTATATGCAATTTTAACAGAGAAAAAAAAATTGGCTATGACTGGGTTTGAATCCGGCTCGGCAAATTAAAAATCTAGTGCTCTGTCTACAGAGCTAATACATTAACTCTTTGAGTATTGAGATTTATAAGTTATAAGCTACTCGCTTGGGTACGAAAGGAGGGGATAGAGCTTGCCAGCGAAGTGCCAGAACTCGCAGTCTTCTCTCTGATGAATAAGGCGGAGATGGATGTATATACCTTATGCTCAGTCTTGCTTGGAACAAATTGTTAGAGAATTTGTAAATTTTTTGGTGCCCTAAGGCGCCTTTTTTTAGTGCATTCCTGAAAATTATCATCTTATGAGAAATTTCCCTGTTACCTACTCAATTTCAATTGAAATCGAGCTTCGGCCTTCTGCCGCCCAACGCGAGGGCGCAAAGTCAACTTCGGAACTTTTCTTGGGAGCGTGACATCCGTCCCCAATAAGATGTCAGTCAAAGGCATTTTTACAATCTTTTAAATTTAAATCTTCAAATGTATAATCTTACTGATTGTCAATCAAATTCTATGATGCCCAGATTTTTTATCTAATGATCATTTTAAAAATAAGCTTAATTGTTTTAATCTTTTATAATTGCTTTTTTTTTATTTTCAATCATTAAATATTCAATCAAATTATAAAAATGTTTCTTTTTTTAATATTTATCATTCCGTTGAACAGTCAACTTAAGAAATTAGGACCGGTAAATTATCTAGCGTCGGTATAGTAGAAAAAAATTCAACTAGTGTCACTGTTTTCTGATAGATGACAGTAATTGCACTGTTTTCAATCAAAAATTCAAAATGCTTATACAAAGAAAAGTCTTCTTTCTGACTCATGTAATGTCATGTAATTCTTACTACATGAATAAGGATGTTTAGGCCAATAATTCTATGATAATAATAAATGATAATTTAAAATAGCCATGTAATTTCAATAAAGATTATACGTGAAGTTACATAAAAGAAACCAAATCATCCAGTTATTATAGGAGAAAATCCTGAAGCTGATAAAAAAGTTATCAGTAATAAAAAAGGAGCATTTTTTTTATATAATCGAACAAAAATATCATCTATATTAGATAAATTTAACAAAGAATGCATAAATGGAAAATATCCCGCATTAGGAAGCATAGATAACATTGGTTTGGATACATTAAATTTAGAAGTAAGTTATAAATTGTACAAGAAAGCTTGTTAAAAAATAATATTGATAAAGTATTCATCATTATTCTTATCAGTAACGTAGGAAGAGTGGTAATTTATTTATAATGTTATTTTTGGATATCCAATGATTGTATCAAACTCAATAGAGTTCAAACTTCATCACGAATTATGTCTTCAAGTAATATGTTCATTTCTGTCTCACTTTAGTAAAAAAATTCAGTATCTATTATCGTTGATATCGTATTTTAATGGTAAGATAAAATAAGATATAACTCATATATACAATTTTCCATGAAAAATAATATCATCCAACAGGAAGAATGTACTCATTTACTACCAACATTAATGGCTACAATTTATTTACTCAAAGCTCTTCAAATTGTGTTTAAAATCATGATGTTACATTGTTACATTAACACCATTCTTTTATTTTTAATAAAATGATGAAGCTAAGACTAAAATTTTTAACTAATATAGTTAGTATAAGGTTTTCGTTAAGAGTCTGTTTCAAGTACTCTCATGTTTACTTAGGTATTGGTTTACATTCATCTGTTGATACTTTTATTACTTTCATGATGATTGTACCAGCACATGAGTCTATGATCGACGCATAATCAGGACAAAGAAAGAGATGTTTGGTTTTCAATCAAAGATATCTTAAAGAAAAATGAGTCAGTCTTTCAAAAGGTTCCAACGAGTGCACTGTGTCGTTTCGTTGTAATTAAATACATTTCTGGTGTGGTCAATCCAAATTTTGGAATTAAGCCTCTGATTTTCTTTTTCATTGGTATTTGGTTAATTACAATAAGTCATATTGCTGGATTCAATCTTCAACTAAGTTGTGAGTCAAGTTCATTATTGTTTGGATCAAGCCCAGCCTTGATTCTTCTTATGTCACTAGATCAATTGCGTATAAGTCACATTCTTGAGGAAGTTAAGATGGTCTTCCACGAAATTATACACGATTTCTGCTGACTTATACCTTGATCTATATCTACAATTGATTAAAAATGAGACATATCAACTACGTAAACAGCCACATTTTCAAGTGCTGAGATTTTCTCAAATCTCAATGATTTCCAGATAGGAACATCTGCTGGCTAAACTGGTTGATATGAGACATTCTAGAAGATCAAGTTTTGTTATTGAATTCCAATTAGCAATCAAGTGAGTCTCTGATCACATGTCTATTGGAAGATTCAGCATGAATCTTCACGAAGTTTATTTTACACTTCTGCTGACAGAACCACTTGATTCAATTCTAATAAAGTTTGATTAAAAATGTTGATTCAATGTTGTGTCTAATTACGGGCATACGTTTCACTCTCAATGACATATTTTTTAAAAAACAAAATAAATTTTCACACAAATAAATTATATATTGAAGAGAAATAAAATTAAGATCCTATTAAATTTTTATCATTACTCAATTTAGTTCACACGACAATCAGTTTTAAGACAAAAACGTAATTTTTCCATTAAGTATTTTTAATTACTCAAATAAAAATATATTATACGTGTATATAAGTTACATAATAATAAGTATATTTAAAAAAAAAATAACTTAGTTTGTTTTTTTTTATTCTAAGGAAGTGACTACACGACAAAATTATTCTCGAGCAATTTAACATACAATTGACTTGTACATTAATAATTTACAAGAGTCCTTGAGAAATGGAAGGTACTTATATAATTTGTCAATTTATTCAATCATTTTATATTAAATTTATATAATTTGTTATAATATCAATTTATATATAGGATGACATTGTTAGAATATTTGTGGGCAGTAGTTGAACGCACAAATATTCGAAGGGAGCTGAGACAACGTGTCCAGTACAATAGTATAAGTCATAAAAGACGCAACAGTTAAAATTATTAATAATTTTTTTCAAAATTACTTTTTATTTGAATTGAGTTTTTGGGAAAATTCTAAATATAGATTTACAGAAGAATTCAAATAGTTATTCTGTTGACTTTTGATTCACTCTCATGTGAATGCAGCATAAATCTTCTGTCTACTTACGACTTCATTCTGAACGGTCAATTTCCCCCTAGTGAAAACCAAAGTGTACAAAGTCTAGAGATTGTTATTTATTTTATAATGTTTAACGAAAAATTAAGTGACTCATAAATGATAAGTAAGGTAGCTAATCTATTTTTTACATTTAATCACAATAATTAAAAATTGAACATAATAAGTATTTCTTTTCTTTTATTTGTAGGAAATTCTCATGAAAAAAGTTGATGGTGGGAATGCAATAGAAGAGAAATTGTATCCTACTAAATTGAAGAAAAAGAGAGGAGAAAAAATTTAAAGAATAGAACTTAAATTTATGTGTTTATATGAATTATTGTACTAATTATTTTACTTACATCTCCTCACTTATTACTTTTTAGATTTTATAAGTTAAAATCAGAAAAGGCGCAAAAATCTAACATGCCGGAAAATTTAAGGTGCCGCTTCTAATTCTGAACCTGCGTGGATGTTATGCGCGACGATCGATCGTACATTATGCCGTGTCCGTATTATGCCGACCGAGTTTTTCGGTATCGAAAACGACAAATATTTATGTACATTTTAAGTTGATAGGTAATACATAGAATGTATTACCGATGGTTTTACGTTTTAAAAAGAATCGTTTTACGTTTTTTGAAAACTAATTCATGTCCTTCAATCAATAATTTTGTTTATATCTCAAGATCGGTAAGAGATAACAATTTTTTTTTATTGAGTTGATAATTAAATACTACCAGACTAAAGACTATTATACAGTACCGGACATAAATGCTGTGTGATTTTCTTTTGGACGGTATAGGGAAATCATTTTTATAACCCTTAAAAAATTAAGCAGCATCTATGTCCGGTACTGTACTATCTATATACAGATAGTGATGTCTGTTCTAAAATTCCATGTCGTAGTAACGGAGTCGAATGATACATATTCCGTTTGTTGTACAAAAAATCGTGAAATCACACCAAAAACAGCCCTAACGGACTTCACAAAAATACGCGCCAAGTATGAATAACGAGGACGATAATCATCGTTCATCAAGTGCGATCTCTATAAAACTTCTTTATGTGAACAACTACAAAAATGCGTGAAATCATTGCAGCCAAGTATTTGAACATAAAGATTAATTATATTTGGCTATCGATTATATAAACCATCTAATCAATTATCGTTTTATCTACAGCTGTAAGAGCCGCGCCAAGTTAATTGTGTTTGAATAAATTTTTATAAAAAAAGAGAAATTTTTTTTTTAATTCAATTTTTTTTTCTATTTTTAAAATTTTAAAACGTAATAAGGCTGTCAACTTTCTTCATGTATTGAATTTTATTTTCATCTCACTATAAAGAGTTTGTCTTTGATTTATGTAGAAAATTACATAATAATTTAACGAGAATTAAAAAACATTTCTATTTTATTTTATTAAATATAATTAAATAAAAAAATATAATTTAATAAAAAAAAAAGTGTTACAGATTCGAGAACATTATTAAAAGTTCAATCAATATTGTAAAAGAATTTGCAGTAATTTTCATTAAAGGTGAATTACAACGTCATTTGATTGGCAATTATTACCACAAAAATTTCAATTAATTAATCAGTGGTATATTCGTAATTACCATGGACTCCAGTAGGATTCTGGTGATATGATGTATAAAGACATGCCTAGTATTATCGTGGAAGTGATAAGAAAAGCTAATTTTATTTATGTGGAAGGAGGAGAAAAGAAAAAGTGGGTACATCAATTTGTTAATAATCGACAAACTGTTATTAATCTAGACAATTTGCAATGTCCATCACTAAATATTATTCCAGATTTCCCGAGATGGAAACATGCTTTTTTACGTCATGGATCAAGTTTTACTTTAAATTGTGCATTAAAAAATGTACAGAAGATAAAGATGTGGTTCGAATCTAACTCAATTGACAAATTACAGCCTGTGCTGAAAAATCTCTATACAAACATGAACTTTAATTGCTTATCGTTAAACGAAATTCATATGTTACCTGAAAAGTTTCTCATACATTTTGAAAAAGAAATCAAAGATAAGAAAATAAGGAATAAAAATGTAAAAACAAATTAAATAATCTACAATTTCATTTTTATATTCATAAAATTATATTTTTAAAAATATTACACAATTTATACTTGAAATATTCAATGGATGTATGTCATTATAAACTTCAATAAATGTTTTTGATTAAATTGATTATAATCAACATTACACCTTTGTATGCAATCACCATTCCTCTCTCTTTAGCTTCAGAGGCACACGGAGAGAAAGGAATTGTAAATTTTACTCCAAACAATAGTAGTCTATCGCTTCAAGTACAAAAATAGCAATAAGCAATTGTTTGATTAGTATACAATACAACTTTTTCTTGTAAGCATTAGTAGCGTGGAGGGGTAGTTTTTATCACACATAAGAAATAGCTGAGTAAGAATTATTTTCTTTACATTTACATTTTAAAAGTCAGAAAGTAAAACGAGCTCGTAGATTTCAATTCCAATTGAGTAATAAATCAATGAACATTAACAAGTGCGTTTACAAAATGAGTGATTACTATAAAGAGTTAATTGAAATAATGAAAGAAGCTTATGTGCTTCTTTCATCATTAAGCGGATCAAGTAAAAATAAAACTCTAAACAAATGGTTGGAGATCGGTGAAAAAAATATTGCAACATCAGAAAAAATTACAATACAAGATTTCAGCGGGTAAGAAAATGAAAATACAATCAACTATTTTAATATTAAAGTAATTGCATGAAAAATTTATTTTTCAACAAAACCATGTGCAAAGAGGTAATCTTCAATGCGATGATAAAAGATCAAGTCAGTAATTTAATTGATTTTTTCAATGATGCAAAAAATATTCTTTGTCAAAAATTTAACAATATCATTAACAATTATGGCAGCATAAAAGTTAACTTTTCTTCAGCATGCAAATTTCATAATGTCAACGATGGTAAATCAGTGGAAGAAATAAAATATTTTACTACACCAAATCAACTATTCATGCCATCTAGTAAAATTGATGAGATTCTATAAGAGAAAATTATTGATAACTTGTTAACAAAAGTTGAATACTTTGAGGCACGTGATTCAGGGTGGTCCATAGTGGAAATTCTTCATTTTCAATGAACATCAATCGGTATGACCCATTATCAGCAGGAGAGAGATCAACTTGGATTCCTCTACCAAAGTTTATAAAAGATAAACGTGCAAAGCTAAACATTAAAAACGACGACTAATGCTGCTTTCTTTGGGCAGTTACAGCAGCTTTATATCCAGCCAAGATTAATCCTCAACGAACTGCATCATATCCAGATTATCGAACTGTTCTCCAGTGTACAGGTATCAATTGTCTAATAACTCTTCATGATATCCCAAAATTTAAATAATATAATAACATTTCAATAAATATTTATGGATTAAATAATAATGATAACATAGCTCCATTATATTAAAGTAAATGTCATCATGAAAAATATATAAATTTGTTGATGGTAGAGAGCAATGTTTAAATCGATAATGACAATGATTTAACACCTACTTATCATTTTTGTTTGATCAACGATTTTTCTAGATTAATTAGTTCTTAAATTTCTCATAGCAAAACAAAAGAATATTTATGTGATCGACGTTTGTGTCATTTAAATTTGAAAAATCATTCAATAATCATCGTAATGATTGTATTAAAATTAAAAAAACAGCAATTACTTTCCTCCAAGTGATGAAAAAATTAAATTCAAAAATTATCAAAATAAGGAACACGTTTAATTCGTTGCATATGCTGATCCGGAATGTATACTTGAACCAGATAATACTAAGCAGAAACACATTCCATGTAGCGTTGCTATCTATTCTCAATGCACTTATAATGAGTCAAAATCTTATTTTTCTTTGAAACGTGGAATTGATTGCATTGATTGGTTCATTCGAGAATTAAAAAAATTATCAGAACATGTGAAAGACACCATTAAACATGTTGTGCCAATGAAACCATTAACTTCACAACAGAAAAAAACTCATCAACAAGCTAGAAAATGTCATATTTGTAATGAAATTTTGTTACATGGTGAATCTAAAATTCGTGATTATCGTCACTTTACCGGAAATTATCGCGGTCCAGCTCACAACAGATGACATTTGAATGACCAGTCTTCCCATATCATTCCAATAGTTTTTCACAATCTTTCGGGGTATGATTCTCAGTTCTTAGTTAAAGGATTAGCAGCAACATCATATGAGGGAAAAATAGATTTATTGCCAATTAATATAGAAAAATACATATCTTTCACAAAAACTGTTAGTAGAGTAAAATACAATGTTAATAGAAAAAGAACTTGTGGAATACCAATTAAATTACAATTCATAGATTCTTTCAGATTCATGGCTAGCAGTATTGATGAATTAGCATCATTTTTAGATGATTTGAAGATCCTAAAACTAACAAAGAATTATACTGAGTCATTCTATCAGCCTTATCTGAAGCAACATTACGTCATAAGTTTTCGCAAAATAAATAATGTTAACATATTCTTATAAATAGTGTCAAATATGAACAGAACATCAATCAATCAATTTCTTTTGTTTATATTCTGACGTTGATAAACGATATTATAAATCATTTATATCAATCCAACTATTATGTTCATTACTGAATCCTAGCCACTTAACATATGCTTGATTCCCACGTTTTTTTAGTACTTTTTCAACTAAATAAACATCAGGGTATAAGACTGATTAATTCTTTTTCATGAAAACCTCCTTCTATCGATTGATTTTGATAATCTATTAATTTATAAGTTACTAGGTGTGTATTTCTCACTTCACTGACAGTAAAGATTTCAGTGGTCCAGTTAGGAGTGTACCCCTTTTCGAATATATGTTTTTCTTCATTATTTTTACGACTTTTAACTTTCTATAAATCTTATCGAACAATTGTTTTCCATTGGCTGAAGACACATCGACAGACTTTATTTGAATGGTACGATGTTTACTATTATTATATGATGTTAATTTTCTTCCACATTTTTTTTTTCAGAGTTCGATAAAATCTTTCAGGAATTGATGCTTTAAGATTACTAAATGTTGAGTACATTTTGATGTTATGCTGTTTCAT